AGGAGGTCATTGTGGGGGATTACACAGTGATGCTTGTGTGGAACATGGGAAATGATGGGCTCTGAGCAGCCTATTGCTGCTCCAGTGCAGGACTCTGTGATCAGGACAGATAATTCCAGGGAAACATCAGTTTAGGGGTAGTCAAAAAAAGCAAACCAAACATTAGAAGCTGTTAAGAAAATAAGAGAGAACAAAAAAGTAAACATCATTGAACCATTGTGTAAATCCATGATTTTTCAACACCTGGAATACTGGTCAAGGGTCTATTAGAACAGGAAAAGGGTCATGAAAAGGACATTAATCACCCACTATATGGAATAACATATCTGTGTAGAAGATTGAAGAGGGCTGTTCTTTTCTAGACTGGAAGAGAGAGGACTTACTGGAGAAATTATGAAGTTGTCTGGAAGAACTGAACTAGGAGTCAGGATCAAAAGGAGGTTCTTCAGTGGCAGATCTGCTGGAATTCCAGAGGACTGTGTGGGTGCCAAAAGTTTACATGAATACAAGGAGTCTACTGAGAAAGGCCATACATGTGAGACCAGAGGTCACTGGTGAGAAAAAACCGTATTGTCCTTATGAAATACCCAGAGCTGAAAATAATTAATGAGTGGGAAAGTACTGAGAGAGAAGTGTTACAGTGGCTCTTCCTCTTCAGACACTTTTTGGAACATACTGATGGTTCTTCAGCACCTGCCACTGCTTGAGGTCTAGGTGGTGTCTTGATCTGAATTGGTAGAGTTGTTCTTATGTTTTTAATTAAAATATAAATAGCCAACTACTGCTGTCCTAAAACAATTCAAGGTATTCCCACTATGTGCTTTTTAATTTCTTTCTTGTGGGAAATAGAGTATGTTGTCATTGCAGAGGCATGAATCAGAAGGGCAAAGGATCAGGCAGTATGAAAAACAACTTGTCATCCTTTCTCTCAGCATTCCCCACCCTGCAATTGCCGTGGAAATGTGGCAGATGGGGGGCCAGGTGCCACAGAGCCAACACTCCAACACTAGCTGGGTGTTCCCCAGCCAGACCTTTGCTCTGTACTCCTCTGGTGTTTCCCCTTCCCCACTCACCTCCTGCTGGCTCCTCTAAATCCCCTCTGCCCCAGGGTGGACCCCAGAAAGCACAATCTGCTCATCCAAGCAGCTCCAGAGAAGTCAGGGTCACAAAGCCTGACCTGCAAAAAGGGAGATGTGGCCATCACCAAGCCATTTTTGCCATGAACACACAACTTCTGACTGAGCAGAGCTCAGCTTTCTAAAAGCCAGTGATGTACTTGTGATTAGAGCAGCAAGTTCTAGACATCTGCTCTCACGTCTGGAAATGCCTACAGGCATTGCTGGTGCTCAGCTTTAGCTGGGACCAGAGCAGAGCCCTGTAGCCAGGCTGTCCCAGCCATTTGGAAGAAGGAGAGAGGCATTTTCCTGCTTTGATTCCCTCTCTGCCAGGTGTTGTCCCACTATCAGCACAGCCTGATACGGGGAGTCCAGGGTTAAGAGGTTAATAGGGATGAAGTGGGTGCACTGGGCTATCTGGATCAGGTTAACAGGGACACAGTGGGTGCACTGGGCTGTCTGGATCAGTGACTGCAGACAGGCATCTTCCACCAAACCTCAGGTGCACTGATGGCTCTGCCTTCAAGGGGAGGATCACAAAAACAAAGCCTCTGCTCACCAGCTGGTTCTGACTTCACTTCCATCTCTTAAGCCTTCCTTTCAGCTGAAAGCAGATTTTTATCTCTGCCTCAGCAAGATGCTTAAGGGGTGCAGCTGCTTGCCAGGCTTCTTAACCCTCTCTGCTTCAGTCCTTCAGACAGCTTCTCACCCCCATGTGACGAATAACTTAATTAATGAAAGTGTAAATGTTGTAAATATTGTTTCTCGTAGTGCTCTTCCCAAGTGAGTACTTTCCTCTCCTATTTTATACCCAAACATGGTTTTATTCCTCCCAACCCCAGCTGTCACAGCCAGAACTCCTCCAGAACAGGCAACACCCTGCAGGACACAGCGCAGTATCACCCCAGGTTTGGATGTAACTTTGGTCACATTAAAATTCAAAAGCTTTGTTTGAGGCTCTTTGTATTACCTGGTAGGGATATTACTTACTTTTGTGATTTATGACTCCAATATTCCTCCACATCTACAAAGCTTTCCGGAAGTTGTTCCCTATTTCCATTACAATGGGATGACTTGGGGCTTGCTTTGTGCTGACCCTTGTAGAAATTTCTTTATTAAGCAGGGCAATATGCTGCACACAGGTAACATTCCTGAGCTGGCAAACCAAGTGTTCCCACATTATATATTACAGCACCTTTCTTTCCCCTGAGGAGCATTCCTGCAGTTTCTGTAGTATCCTACTGAAGTATAGAGTAGTTTCTTTTGGTCTGTGTAAAACAGAGACTGTGGCTTATGGCTGCTGTAACCATATTTTATTCCTTCCAAGAAATGGTCTTTTTTAAATTGTTTTGTGAGAAACCGCCAACAGCTTTTCCAAGCTGGTGAACCAAAAATAGGGCTTTCAGAGAAGGTTTTCTTTGCATATATTTCCTTTGAAACCAGTGGAATAGAATTTACCTCAAATGCTTTTTATACACACTCATATGTAAAGCAGGATGTCTGTTTGGGTTTAATGCCTGAAGGAAGAGTGGAACTTGGTATATGTGATGAGTATGTCTGCAGATTTCACAGTACCTTAAAATATTGAATTGTTGTAGGCCCTCACCTTAAAATGCATGCTTCTATTGAACAGCCTATTGAACAGATCTGGTGAGCATTTTTTAATTTCACAGACAGAGTGAGTGGCCAGTGTAGAACAAGGCAGCCAGTGTTGCTCCTTCACCTCAAAGGAGTTTTGCCCTAACATGGTCCTATAGAAACTATTTTTTGTTCTGTGTGACTGTACTGTGTGACCTTACAGCACAGTAAGCATGTAGGGGAAACTAACTGACAAAATAAAGAATCTTAAGGTTTATTATTAAGGATAATATTTATTACACAAGATTGTACAATTATGTGATTGCTACATTACCTTGCAGAACAAAGTTATGTTCTCAGTTAGGGCTTGCCTGACGCTGCCAAAGGAACCCAAACCAAAATATGCTGGATTGAGAAACTGAGTTCACATTTTCTCTCCACAGTGAGATTTTGAATAAGTAACCACAGCCATCCTTTCTAGATAAGCGCCATGTTGTATTCCATCTGTAATGATGAAGGACTTCTGGCAAGGGCCTGGAGTGACAGGACAGGGAGAATGGCTTCCCACTGCCAGAGGGCAGGGTTAGATGGATATTGGGAAGAAATTCCTCTCTGTGAGGATGGGGAGGCCCTGGCACAGGTTGCCCAGAGAAGCTGTGGCTGCCCCATCCCTGGAAGTGACCAAGGCCAGGTTGGACAGGGCTTGTAGAAACCTGGGCTAGTGGAAGGTGTCCCTGCCCATGGCAGGGGATGGGCTTTAAGGTCCCTCCCAACCCAGACCATGCTGTGATTCTGTGACCAGTCCTGTTCCTGAAGGTGGCCTGTGCTCTCCATGCAGTTGCAGGGATGCATTTAGAGAACATTCTCCTTTCCCAGGCAGAGTTTGCTGCATGGGGGCCAAGGCAGCAGCTCCTGCAGATGTGAAGGGCTGTGTGGGGAAGTTCATCACCTCCTGTGAGAAGTATTTAAGTCATTTAACTGAGTAGCAGACAACTACAAATTTACACTCCCTCCACACACGCTGTAAACAGATAATAACAAAAGGCTTCAGTGAACACAGTGGCGCTTTATTTTTCCCTAATTTTTGCATTAGAGGTGCTGTTACCAGAAGCTCGGGACCGTGGCCGGTACCGGGGGGCAGGTGACTGTGCTGCGGCCACAGCCCGGGACCCGCGGCGGCCCCGCTCCGGCGCCGTGTCCCATGTCCCGTGTCCCGCCCGCGGAGGGGGAGCGGCCGGGGCTCCCCGCCCCAGGTGCGGCCCGCCCAAGGCGCGGCTCGGCAGGTACTAATCGCGTCCCGCCGCCCCGCTGCAGTCGCTGCCGCCGCCGGGATGTTCGCGGGGCAGCAGCAGCCGCAGCCGCCCGCGCTGCCCCCGCACCAGCAGCAGCACCACTACTACCGGCGGCAGCAGCACTACAGCACCCTGCCCGCCCGCCGGGCCTGCCCGGAGCCGCCGCCCTGCCCCGAGCCCCCGCCGTGCCCGGAGCCGCCGCGGCCGCTGCCCTGCCTGGACCAGCCCCCGGACGGGGCCGTGGTGTATGACCGGGTGCGCACCTACGGCCCGGGCTGCCGCCGGCTCAGCGCATCCTGCTCCTCCCGGGCCGCCTCGCCGCTGGACTGCGGCCACGGCTGCGACCCGCCGCAGGTACGGGCACCACCCTGCTCCCGCAGCCCGGCATTTCTCCCGCACCCCGGGGCACCGCTCCCGCACCCCGGGGCACCGCTCCCGTAGCCTCGCATTTCTCCCGCACCCCGGGCACTGCTCCCGCACCCCGGGCACTGCTCCCGGACCCGCTCCCGCAGCCAGACCTGCTCCCTGCCCGGCCTCGGGCGCTGCTCCCGGACACGCCCGGGATGAGCCGTTCCCGGGCTGCGGGTCCGCCCGGCGCGGCGGAGGGTCGGGCCGGGCCGGGCTCCCCGCGGGGGTGTTTCGGGTCCAGCCCCTCGCAGCCCCGCGGGTTTCCCTGTGGAAAATCCGCTTGAGCCGCTCCCCGCCGTCCCCAGACCCCCCGTGCAGAGACCCCGTGGCCGATGGGCGATGCCCCGTGTCCGCCCCGCTCCGCAGCTCCGGCACCCCTTTTGCCCCAGAACACCCCTTTTGCCCCAGAACACCGCTTTTGCCCGTTTCTCCCGTGGAACAGCAGCAATCCCGGCGGAGCCGCCGCGGGCGCTGCACCCTTCCCACGCCGGGATGTCCCCAGCGCTGCTCTGCTGACTCGGTGCTGCCCATGTAAATACAACATGAACCCATGCGCTTGTTAGTCCTCTTTGAATCGATGGTGCTGACGAGGTCCGCACAGAGGTGCTGGAGTTCAGCTTGGAATGCCCTCACAATGCAGTTCAGCAGGTTTGCTCTGTGTGTGTGTTCAGGACGTGGCTTGAAGGTATCGATGGAATTTAATGTAATTTTAACACATGCAATTGGTGTCTGAAAACTAGAAGCCAATAGTTTAAGAACAGATTTGACTGCAAAAACAGAAAAGGAGACCAGAATTTATTCTCAAACCATTTTTTCCTCATACATCAGTCTGTCATCAACATTAATAGGATTGCTCTGCTGTACTCAAAAGGCAAAGTACAGTTGTTTCGAGATGAACTCCTACTGAATTTTCTTCCTTGTGATATAAAATATTTAACTGTCAAAAGGAATCAGGATTAAGACCGATATGAGATCTGATTTCCTTTCAAAGTAGTTTGCACAGTTTCAGGCTGCCTTCCTCTCTAGGATGGCTCAAGGACAAGAGGAAACGGCTGCAAGTTGTGTCAGGTTTAGGTTGGATATTAGGAAAAATTTCTTCATGGAAAGGATGGTCAAACATTGGAACAGGCTGCCAAGTGAAATGGTGGAGTCACCATCCCTGGAAGTGTCTAAAAAACATGTAGATGTGGCACTTGAGGAAGTGGGTTAGTGGTGGCCTTGGCAGTGCTGTGGGAATGGCTGGACTCGATGATCTTAGTGGGTTTTCCCAACCTGAATGAGTGTCTTATTGTAATATTTTTATCTGACTTGGTTATGGCAGAGCCATTCCTGCTGTTTCCAAGCTGTTAATCCCTCTTTTGCAAGATGTAGGGCAGGAGTGTAAACACTGGTTTCTCACCTCCCAGATAAATGATCTGCTCACCTAGGCTGGATGATAGTCTGAATTGCAGTCAATTAATTAAATATTCATTGGAGTAAACACTGCAGTCCCAGGCTTCCTCTGCTTTAGATAAGTGTGAGCAGTGATTACAGACTCAAATGCTGTTGCTGCCCTATGAAGGATGTTTAATTTTCAACATCTCTTTTAGTCACTGAATCCATTAAGTCCTGCTGATGAAAACTAATTTCTTGCTGAAGTGTTTTGCTGGACAAGACTTTAAAGACAAGAGGGTGTAGTTCAGTCAGGCTCTGTGTGGGTTGCAGTTTCAGTGGTGGACAGGGAAGGTGCCTAATACAGATTATTAGGAAGTTAATAAAGAAGAAAACAGTAACTAACAGGGAAGTCACACACTTGGTGCTGAATGGGAGTTGGCAGAGAGAAGCCCTGGGAGGGGTGTAGGACATTCCCAAGAGCTGGTTCAGTTGCCCTTTGAGCTGACTGTGAAGTGAATAATGGAAGGATACCAAACTCACATCCGTGTTTTAATGGAACACAAGCATTTTTGGTCAGTGGCAGCCCAGAGCTGTAGTCGAAGCTTTGTGCTGCTGGTAAAGCAAAGGGCTCTTGGAGCAATATTTAATTTGCTCCTGCAGACCTTGTGTGGATTAATGATAAATGTCTGTGTCCCTGCAGATACGGCCCTGATGTTCAGTCACGTGCTTGGTGTGTGCTCCTGTGTTCACGTATGTTTTTAGGGAGAATGAGGGAGGGAGAATTTGAATTTGAAAATTGGTGTGCACAGAGCACAAGTGTGAGCATTTTGGGGGGTTCAGGATTCAGGGGGTTTTTTGCCTTTTTGGTGTAACTTTGTAGAGGCCAAATGCTGCTCCCAGCCATGGCAGGCTTCATCTGGTTTAATTCACAGCAAATTTTGCTCTGCTTGATCTAAGTGAAGAATGTTGTTTAGAGTAATTTCTCTTCCAGCGTGGCTTATATGTATGAACCCCTTCACCATGGTCATGAAAAGGCACATGCAAGTTGTTTGCTGTCAGTTCAGAGGGCAAAACCCTGGCAGGCTTTGTAGGGGTTGTCTGTCCATGTGAGAAATTTTGTCTTTCCACATCTGGGTTCAGTTCTGTGACGTGCAAAGGGCTCTCGTGAAAGTGGTGTAACATTAACCAGCTTTAGGGTTGGTCTGTGTTGTAACAGCCTTCAAACACAGCCTGCCATTTCCCCATTTCACCTGCCAAATGGAACTCATAAATCCTGATTAGATGACTGGATTGCTTGTGATTAGCAAGGCAATATGTTATGGATACAGGGTCTCGACAGAGGTGGAATTCTCACCTTCATCGCTGGGTTGGCTGAAGTGAAGGTAAACCTGTTGAAATAAAAGTGAATTTACTGATTGCTTCTGCATAACATTGCACATTAAGTGGAGGAATCTATCAATTTATTTTTTTTTAATTTAAAAATCTTAAAGACTAGCAAAATTATATATGAAAGTGTGTTACCTTTGGAAATTATCCTTATAAACCCAATGGCAGGGGGTTGGAACTGGATGATCTTTACGGTCCCTTCCAACTGAAACCATTCTGTGATTCCATAAAATAGACCCAGATTGGCTGGTCAGGCTGTTAAAAATTCCAAACCCAGTCGTGCCACTGAAATACACAACAGCACTGAGCTCTCCCCTTTGGAATGCCACCTTCCCCTTCCTTTTCCCGTGTAGAAAATACTGCATCTCCAAAGCATTGCTGGAAATGAGAGAGTAGCCAGAGCTGTGGCCCTTGGGAACGATGGAAAATGAAGTAGCAGCTCCAGAGGCCTTGGAGGTGGCAGCTGGTTGTGCAGAGTGAGGAGCCGTGTGTGGGGCAGCCCAGGCTGGCACAGACACAGGGTCCCCTCCCAGCCCGTGCCAGCCCAGCCTGCTCGGCAGGAATGGGAGGAAGGGCAGGCAAATCTGTGTTTGTAAAGCAGTGAGGGAAGTGTATCTGCATCAAAGTTCTCTGGAAATGAAAGAGTTTGGGTATCTCAAAAATAAGCATAATTTTATCCAAGCAAAACATTCTTAGATTCTGTGTATTATTGCACATAGGACTAGAGTGTCCTTGTGAATATTATAGAGGCCTATTTAAACTTAAAATGCTCCAGTCTTCTCCATTCTGGATGTGTTCCTCTGGGAGCACACACGTAACAAGGTAAAATAACTTCCCTTGTTATCCTCCCTAAACCAGTGAGAGTTACATATCCCAGGGCTCTGTGGTAGCGTGGTTTACTCCAGGCAGGTTTGTCCAACTTCCCAGTGAATTCAAAGAGTGTTTTTTGTGTCACACACAATGGTTATCTGTCAGTGCTGAGTGACACAATCCCTGCTCTCCCACGGCACTTGAGTGTCACTGTTCCGGGACGGACGGAGCCAGTGACAGGCACTGGGATCTGGGCTGGGCCTGCTCTGAACCTGGGCTGGAGGAAGGACCAGTGGGTGTTCATTTGTTGAGTGTTTTACTTTTCAGTTCAAATTCTGCAGGTGTCAGTGGTGCAGGACTGGGCTGTAAATTCTAGAGCTCTGTGTTGTGTCCTGGTACAGTCCGTGGGTTCCCTTCCAAGCCAGACCTCCCTCTGGACAGTGTGGGAGGAGCACTGAGCAGCTTTCTAAGCTTCTGCAGCAGTTATTATTTTAAATTTTGTTTTAGTTTTTTAATTCTGAAATGTCTTAATTACTACAATTGCTGCTAAAAGAGTTTCTTTTCTACTTCGGCTTCTCTTTCCTGGTGCTGTTATGATTCACTTTTGGGAGATTTGGAAAACTGCTCCAGGCTTCCAAAACTTATGCAACAGTTCACAGGAAAGCTGACCTACTTCAGAGCTGCTCTCACCCAGTTGACAATGTCTCCAAGACTGAACTGCAGCCACATAAACTTCCCCACGGGTTTGGGGAAGAAGTGATTTATTATGAAAATTGGAGGTTTGTGCTGTGAGGAAAAATAATCAGGGTGCTGTAAACTAATAAGTTGCCAAATCCTTAGGTTGGATTAAGTGGGAATGTTGCTTGCTTGGACAAAGTATTGGTTGTGGAGACTTGAAGTAATGTGTGCAATTTGTTAGAGCTGGTGGTGGCCCACAGGATGGGGGATAATGTCTGCGATTGCTTCTGGACAGTGCTGGGGAAAAAGAGAAAAAATATGTTTGAAAAATGACCAAAGCTGCTGCCACTTATGGATTCCTGTAATTTAAAGAGACACTTCTCATTTTGCACTCAGGAATGGGCAGATGTTCCATGTGGGCACCATTTCCATAGCTGGCAGTTGTGAAGTTGTGCCCTCTGGGTATGACCCAGTGGGGTTGGTGGGCAGCTCCTCTGCCCTTCCATTTCTGAACTTAGGCAAAATACAAAGTTTCTTCTCTTGGTGAAACAAAAAGTGTTGAAGGTGCACCTCTGTTTACACCAGCTGACCTTGGTTTGTAAAATGAAAAATCGAAAGTGAAGGAGGGTGTCTGTGGAACAGGGAGAGGGAATCCAATGGAGATCTCATCCAGTTTTGATTTGTAGCCTGTTCTGCTGCACTTAGAGAGAAAATAAGGACTAATTCCATCACACCTGCTAGGAGGTGATTGAGAAAACCCAAACTAATAAAAAGGAGAATGATGGAATGTGTGTTGCTGTGCTGTGTATGGGCTAATTCCTTTGGGCTGGGAAGGCCCTGGATTTAAAACATCTCCAGGTGATTGTGGCCTGTGGATCTCAATATATTTACAGCCAGTGACTGTATCCAGATTACTTTGGGAATCCACGTGATCCTGAGCTCTGCCAGAAATGTTTTGGAGGTGGAAGTGCAGTAATACTGAACCTTTGCTTATTTTCCTCCTTGCAGGGCACTATTCGAAGGATCATTATCGAGAATCCTGATCAGGTAGGAAAGTGTTCAGTGCTGGAGTTCCCTCAGTTACCCTCATCCCATGAAGTGCCCGGCTGCATCCCGTAGGGATGATAAATACTTTGGGCTCACACAGCTCACACCTCTGATGGTGACAGATGGAATTACTAGGGATTCAAAATACTGCAGAACGGCCAGTCAGGCTTCCACCCCTCAGCAGTGAAATTTTATTAAGATTAATTACTAACTGTTCCACTATATTTATTTCACATGGTGTCCATGGAAGCACAGCCACTTAGTTTCCAAATGGACACACACTCAAATGGATACATCCTAAAGGAATATCTTACAATACATGTGTCTTAAATTACAAAAATCCCTTGTAGTTTTTTAGTCAAAAATCACACTAATCCTGAATTTGCTGTTTGACAACATTTATGGATGTTTTTATTTACAGGTTTTACAGGAGCCATTATCCCCATTTCTTAGAGCAGGGACTTTCGGTCCTGGAAATAATGTCATCTATGAAAAGACAATAAGAAAATATGAGCTGTTAAATCCCCTCCAAGTAAGTTGAGTGTTTATATTATCTATTTGAAAAAGCAAATTGATATTTCTGGGTTGGATTGGTTCTGGTTTTTTGTTTGGTTTTGTTGGAAATAGCTGCCAACCTGAGAATTGCCTTGCTGTGATACAGGACACAATCTCAAAGTAACTGAAGCAATATTTATGGAGAGCAGAAACTGGAATGTTTGCTTTATGATTCCTAATAATTTATTCTTTCAGAATAACAAACTGCTGTTGTATCTCTAACACTGTCAGTCAATATCTGAATAGTGACTGAGAATTGGTTTCTTGCAGTAGCTCCACAGAAGAACAACCAAGATAATTTTTTACAAAAAAGGCATTAATAAGACAATTTTTTTTTTTTACTCTTGAAAAAATGTATTTGGCAAAATGTCTGGAATTTCATCTTAGAATTGCTGTTTTGTCAATAGCAAAAATACTACTCCTTTTTTATTGCTCTGAAACATTTCCCAAGGAAAAGAATTGAAATTAGGGGTATTTCAGAACAGTTTATCTGGGTTTTTTTACTTTGTTATTTAAAACTGAAGTTTTCATGCCACTCTGGATTTTAATAGGTGACTTAGGTGTAATATCCATTCTCTGAAGTGGAAAAGGGGAGCGGGGGGGGGGGAAAGGTAATTATAAATAATAGCTTTTTTCTTTCCACAGCTGGTGTGCAAAGAAAATAATAAAAAAATTGTGAAGTCACATTTTTACTTCTGGGTTTTTTTACCCGGGGTATATCTAGATTTAAGTCAAATCAGGAGTCTAGTTTTGAAGAAAATTTCCACATGTGGTGAAACACACCTTGGTAAAGGTGTCTCTTCTGTGCTTCTCACTTGCAGCCTCTAAAACGTGTGAGGGGCTGGTGAATTCCAACCCCGAAGTATGAAAGCGTGAGGCAAACCCATGCTTATTTAGGGAAAAAAAAGGCAGTTTTATTGGGATTATTAAAATATCTGAACCCGCCATCAGCCTTCCCGGTCCCAAACACGTTTCATTCATTCCGGTATCGAGCTCCCAGCTCACCGCGACGTGTCCAGCAGCTGAGAACACCCTCTTTGTTGGCAGGAGAAGCAGTTCCAGGTGTCTCAGCTGTGCCAGCAGGCAGAGCAGTGCCAGCCCTGCCCGGAGCCCGCCCCGGTCACCCACCAGTGCCAGCACACCCAGACCAGCAGCCCCAGCGACGTGTTCCCGGTGTTCCCGGGGCCGGGGAGCGATGACTGCCGGAGCCACACCGTGAGGAGGGTCCCCCTGCACTCCTGCGAGCCGGTGAGGGCCACGGGCTGAGGGTTCTGCTGCTCCTTTGGTTGGTGTGCAGGGGACAAAATTTGGGGGATGAACGGGTTTGTGTGTCTGTGATCCCCGGGTTGGGTTCAAACCCTTCGCGGGTGATTCCTTACAAGCACGTGGTGCTGAAACAGCAGAGTCCGGGGGTGTGTTGCAGGTAACTTCGTGTGCTTGTTGCAGACTGCTCTGGGACTGTCCAAGGCTTTCTCCTGCGCTGTTGGGGGGAAAAATGGCTGGTTTAGGTGTTGTATCCTATTTCTCGTTGGCACAGACCTGTGCTCAGGTGTCCTGGGCATCATTTTGAGGTCCTTTAACTGTGTAAAGTCTTGCTGATTTGTTTGGTTTTGTTTTTCTTTATCTGGGAGCATTACCATTGACTGAGTCAGGTTTCCTCTGTCAGTCAGTACAACAAAGACTGAGGGATGCACAACTTATTCCCCTAGTTTTGGAGAAAAGACATGTTCTATAACCTTGACAATCATCAGTTCAGGATTCCTTTCCTCCTGCACTGACCAACAAGGGCTTCAAATGTATTTCAATTTGATGCAGGAATTTTTGATGCAGATTCACTGGAAACACTAAATGAGCTTTCTGTTGTACCTGTACCCTCTTAGTGGAGCTGAGGAGGGAGTGCAGAGTCCCTCCTGAGCACCCAGTCAGCGTTTGGGTGACAAGACAAACATCCTGGGGACCTTGGTGTCAGACCTGTGCAGAACCTTCATTGCCAGGCACTCCCATAGACCAGCTCAGGCACACTTGGCCTGGGCTGCCTCTGGAATTCTTTTATTGTTCACACAGGAAAACTGTGCAGTGCAAACCCCACTGCTGCCCTGGGGGATCCTGCACCCGCCTGGTCCCATCTGGGTGCTGCCCACGGGTGTTTTATCCACCTCAGCTGTGGCAGCAGGTGTCTGACAGATTTCCTAGTTCCCAACACTTCCCATTTTAACATCCTGACGATTACATTGCCGTGGAAGAGAGTACTTTGCCTACTTCTTGTTGTTGTAAAGGGAATCCTTCATTTCTGTACAGTTCACTGAGAACCAGGAGACACAAAAGACCCGCTGCCAAGGAAAAGCACAGTGTAAACAAATTGCAAATTAGCACGAGCAAACAATACCTGTAGCATTCTCATGTTCAGCTTTCTTCCCAAAGAAGGGAGCTCCATTCTGACCTCCCTGCCTGTGTCCTGCCAGGTGAACTGCTCCCAGGAGAGCCCGGACCAGCTGGACTGTCGCTACTTCGGGGAGCTCCTGGCTGAGCTGCACCGCAAGGGCAACGACCTGTACAGCTGTTTGCTGCAGCATGTGGAGAAGATTGGAGGCAGGTACTGGCATTGGATCTGTGCTGCCATTCCCATATCCCAGAAATCTGTGTACTGCACAGCTGAAAGGACAGTGTTGGTTGAGAGTTATGCTTTTTTTTTTTTTCTTCCCGGACAACTAGAATTGACTGGATGTTTTACATGTTTATAATTTGCAGAGTAACCGAGGAAATAAAAATGCTGCAAGCCAAGGAAATTTATTGAATTTGATGCTTTTTCAAATTCATTAAGGAATTTGTATCCTGTGCCTGTTTGCACATCAAGCAAGTACTTGCAGCACACTCTGACTTCTATTTAATGACATGATTCTATTGCTGTGTTCTGAAAAAATGACCCAAGTATCCAAACTTCCTCTGTCCTGTTGTGCTGCTGTGTCATAAAAGACAGCCACCATGAGGCATAAAGCTTGGTCTCTACATGCAAATTAACATCAAGCACGTTTTCTGCAGAGCCCTGCAGACTGTCTGTGGGAAGAAGTGCAGAGTCACAGCAACCAGTGGGGCTGCACAGCCTTCCCACCCTTCCCTCATAATCCCCTTCACTCCCAACCCCCTTCACTCTTCCCCCTCACTTCCAGTCTTAGTGCTTCCCAAAGCCACTGAAATAAGGGAAGTGGCCCTGTAGCAGGGAAAAGGGGAATTTAACCATCACAGAAACCCTGGCACTGCCAAGTAAACACTTTCGGCGTGTCAGTGGATTGCAGCAGAGTTGTGGGCAAACCATTACCTGGGCTATTAATGTAATTGGGTTAACTGCCCATAATTGAGGTAACTGCCCAAAGAAATGGGGATAGTCAGCCTGTGTCAGCTGTGCTGCTGTTGGTACTCCGGGCTCCTCAGGAATTTCCCCATGGAGTGGTGTTTGACAGGTCGCATTGCCTGGCACCTCTGAGGGAAGGTAACGGCTCTTCAGCTGATGAAGACCCTTCCCTGCTCAGTGTTTTATAGACAATCTTTCAGTGTTTAATGTGGGTGTGAATTCTTAAAGTTCTCAAGCAGCTTTTTGTTAATGGATCCTTTGGATTTTGTGTTTTACAGGAACCATGACATCGAGTTCACGTCCCAGGTGAGCACAGGCTGTCCCCTGATGTCAGTGCTGACACCAGTGAGGGGGGGCTGCAAGGGAATTCAGCCACTTCACATAAAGGAGGCTGGTCTTTGTTAGTGAATGATTCCTGCTTGGCATTAATATTCAAAGCCTGACACCTACTGCCAGGCAGGTATTTGCAAATGTGATAATGCTGAAAGGAAACTTCAGTAATTTGCATTATTCCAGTAGGAGAGTCAAATTTTGGAAGTCTTCCCTGCAGTGTCAATAATGGTTTCAGTGGAAAACAACTTGCACAGGTACCTGTATTCCACAGTGTGCTTTTGAAAAGGATCCTTCACTCTCTTGCCAGTAAAGCTGCTGCCGAGCAGCACGAGCTGCACCTTTAAAGGCATTGTGTGTGTGGCAGAAATACTTGTCCAGGGTTCAACTGCAGGCAGCAAATGCCATTGAATAGCTGGCACAACCTCCTGTTGGTCACCTCGTGTTCAATGAGTCTGTCCACTGGTCAGAAACATGAGATTTGACCCCACCATAAACTGCTGGGAGTTGCTGTAGCATCAGCTGTTTTTCCTTGGGAGAGGATTGGTTTGAATACTGTTTTTAAAATAGATGTGAAACTTGAGGATTTGAATATATGCTTCATGTACCACTTCATCTCACTTTGTATATGCCCCAAATATAAAAGACTGGAATTTTTTAAAAATATTCTTTAATCTATTTTCATTCTTATTTGCCTTGTTCTAAACATGTTTTTCATAGTAGAGCTGTGTAATTAATGAAGAAACCACGTTACTATCTACCAGGCAAAATTCTTAATCAGGATGTCTCCCCTTTCTTCCCTTCTTTGCTTAGACTGAAGAGATTGAAGAATTAATTCCCAAAGGACTGTCTGAGGCAACAAAGCAGCAGATTCGTTATCTCCTCCAGGTATGGGAGTGTGGAAGCCAACAGGAACTTGAAACAGCAGTTGGCTTACTCACAGCAGGGACTTTGTACATGACATACTTAGAGTTCACTCTGTATTCCCCTCATTCCATTTTTCTGGTGTGCAGGGGATGGAATGGTCCAGGTGGCTGTGAGGGAAGTGTGGCAGCTGGACCCACAGTCTCATTTTTTAAACTGAGCTTTACTGGTGCTTTCCTGCAGTTTCACTGGAAACTGTCTTGGCTTTTGATCACTGACAGCAGAACTGAGACCTTTCATCTTTCTGCCTGTGTTGTGTATTAATACTTTGCTTTAAAAGCCAAAAACAAATAGTAGGTGCTGAAAACACATGGCAGAAAGTATCGCAGTGCTGGGAAACAACTGAATGCCAGCCAGGAGCAGAGCCTGCATCCCAACTGCTCACAGCCCAACCCCATGGCTGGGGAGGGAGCTAAAGAACCAGATCAGGAGGACAAAAACCTTTACAAGTGGAACCACAGCAGGAATGGGGCTGTTTGTTACCCAGTGCCACAAGCACAGCTCAGCACTTAGTGCTGCATTTGCCAGGCAGGAATGTTGGAATAGGATCCAGAACAACCTGCACTGCTCTGCAGGTGTGTCCTGAGCCAGGCTCCCTGAGGTGGGGGTAGGGTGATCCTACCTGGGAGCTGCACCTTGGAGTTGCTTCCTGTTAAAAAAAAAATCCATTGAAATGAAGTTGTGAACAAGCAACCTGGTCTGAGCTCAGAGCTTGTCTTGCTTTAAGCAGGAGGCTGGGACAAGATGAGCTCCCAAGTCCCTTCCAACTTCTCTTAGAAGGAAGATGGACATTGACACCCAAGTAATTGCTAAGTGGAGTTTTACTTAAGTTTTATAGTCTAAATTCAACCATTTTGATTTAATTCCTTCTTTTAAACTGCTCTATAGTGTATTTAACAATAAACCCAACAAAACCATAAGTCAAAACTGAAATTCTGCTTTAATTAAAAAACAAAGAGGTGAGTGACACCAGAAATGTGATTTTTAAAGCCTCAGTCACACAATGGCACCAGTGGGGATAAAAAAATCACACAAGGGCCAATCCCCACATGGATGGAACTGCGAGCACATCCTTCAGCTGGGATGAGCAACAAATCAAGGGAACAGACAGGAAGGTTCACTTTTGTCCAGACAGTAAAAAACATAGCTTTTGCACAGAATATTCAGCCCTTCCAGGTGAGTCACAACTTCAGGATTTACTTGTGTGTCCTTCCAAAGTCTGTATTTCTTCTTTAAAATACCAGAAATGTATCACAACTTGTGTTTTCACCTGAATCAATAGACAGCTGTTACAGGCATTAAAATTAACATTCCAAAGGAGAACAGTGCTTGGCTGTGATGCACTTCTGCCTTTTTCTTTCATCCAGGTGACTCCTTTCATCTTTGGGATCTTTCTCCTTTTAATGGGAGGAGTTGGTTGTATGAACTTTTTTAATTTAAATTTTTGAAAATGTTAATTAAATTCCCTCACCCTTGAGCCCAAAGCCTTGCCAGATCTCAAACATGATTCATTCTATGGCTTCTCAGGCAGGGCAGTAATTTTTTTAAATCAGTGTAAGCATAAAGCTTTGAATGCTCAATGATTGTGCAATATTAGCACGTTCATTTTTCCCTTTATTGGTATACAAAGGCAGTTCCTTACTCTCTTGTTCCTTCCATTTTAGAATGTTGTCCTGTGTTGCAAGGCAGCAATTTATGGCATTTGCAGAACAAAGTGCAAGAAAATGTGTTTCTTGTAGAAATTGTGGGCACTTCAAAGGATGTGCAGTAGTTTAAAACTTATTTTCAGCTGTACAGCAGTTTCTGTTCTACCTCTTGTCAAGCATATTGTAAACAGAGCTAATGAATCCCAATTATCCATTTCATTTTGTAAACAGAGCTAATTAATCCCAATTATCCATTTCATTCTTTCCCTCCTAGATGAGAGCGACGTCGGATAAATCCCTGAGACTTGTGCTTTCCACTTTCAAGAATCTCCGGGAGGAGCTGTGCCATTTGCAGGATGACCTGGGGGTGAGCAGGTTCCTCCCTTCCCAGGGCTCATCCACCTGTTTTCCCTGGCAGCAGGAGTCCAATGCCAACATTCCAGTGCTGGATCCAGGCTGGGGCTACTCTGTTCATGCAGCAGAGGAGGTTGGATGGTGCTGGTGGCTTTGGCAGCTCCAGAGGTTCTCCGGGTACAGTGTCCCAGTTTGGAAGCTGGAGCTCTGTGGCTGTGGATACAGGGAGCTGTTAGGGAAGCAGAAATGTTTCCCACACCAGCCCAAGTGCTTGGCACCACTGGGAATGTCACAGCATTCTCCTGTAAAACGCAAAGTTTAGGGAGAGGGTGTTTTAACTGTCATCTCTAACAGAGAACAAGGAGGTCTTAGTTTTAGGTTGGTTGGGGTTTTTTTTGGGGTGGGATTTTTGTTTGTTTGTCTTCAGGTTTTTGTTTGGGGTTTTGCCTGTTTGTTTTTGTTGGCTCCTGTTTAAATTCTTTCTGGGGCAGTCTGGAAGAGCAGTGTCCAGGATCCCACAAAGCCCCACACACTGCAGTGTGTGTCCTATGCTGACTATTTTCTCAGTTCTAGAACATCCCTTCACTAGTGACTCAGTGTGTTGCACTTCATGGGAAGAGTTTACTGAAAAACTGCAGCTGTTGACTGTGAACACTTTTGTCCCACAGAAGCTGGAAACCGACAATATCTTGCTGAAGAAGGACTTGGCTTTTAAGGATTCTCAAGTAAAGGAATATGAAACTATGTTGGCTTCTCTAAGGGAGAACAATCGTC